TCAATGTTAGTACTTGTTCTTCTGGAATTTTTGACAATTGTTTAGCTTCACTTCATTAATTTTCCTATTTTTGGAAAATCAACAGTCAAGTGTATTATTTACTTCGAGCATAAGTGATTGCAGAGCTAAACGATAGCCAAGTTTTTCATTTGAAATTCATCAATAACAATTTAACTATTGCAAAATCTTTAAATATCACTACGAAATGATTAAAAGAAAAGGGCTAAATGTTACTTTGAGAAACGAAAATAGTTTTTAATGACCACTGTCTATTGTTTAGGAATATTATATTCTAGTCAGGTAATTAAAATCTAATTATACATTATGGCATAATGACTTCATTGGTTCCGACTCATTATCTATTGTGGAGACGTTTAGTAATTTTTTGCTGAGTCATAGTAGGTAAATTTGGCTATATATTTGATCGAGACTCAAAATTCAAATTACTTCTGAACTTGACGTGATCAGAGACACTTCTTCAAATTCTAATACTTACCTTCCAATTTTATTTATCATGGAATCTCCAATCTCATCTATTAAAAGTGGACGGCCCAAAAGTAGTGTTGGGTTGTTTTTTACTTATAACGATGTGAGCAATAAATCATATTGCAAAATAGAAAATTGCCAGTATTCTTTAAATGTAAGTTATATTTCATAATCGATATTTTATAAATTATATTGCACTACGTTTCCTAGATAAATAACGCTCTTTAAAAAACATAAGTTTGTTGCTGAATTTATCAATTATTACTAGAGAAATATTTATTTTTTAAATTGTTTCAATCCTTACAATTTTTTAAATACTATTATATGAAATTTTTTTGTACCAAAAAATATTTATTAATAGTTAACAATTAAGTCATTTATTAGAGACCACTTTTTAGTATTAAACAAATATTTCTTAGTATTTAAAATGATTTGTTTGTATTTAATAAATCTGATATTGATTTATTAAATATTAATAAATCTTTTTAAATACTAAGAAATATTTATTAAGGACTAAAAAGTGGTCTCTAATAAATGATTTAATTGTTAACTATTAATAAATATTTTTTGGTACAAAAAAATTTCATATAATAGTATTTAAAAAATTGTAAGGATTGAAACAATTTAAAAAATAAATATTTCTCTAGTAATAATTGATAAATTCAGCAACAAACTTATGTTTTTTAAAGAGCGTTATTTATCTAGGAAACGTAGTGCAATATAATTTATAAAATATCGATTATGAAATATAACTTACATTTAAAGAATACTGGCAATTTTCTATTTTGCAATATGATTTATTGCTCACATCGTTATAAGTAAAAAACAACCCAACACTACTTTTGGGCCGTCCACTTTTAATAGATGAGATTGGAGATTCCATGATAAATAAAATTGGAAGGTAAGTATTAGAATTTGAAGAAGTGTCTCTGATCACGTCAAGTTCAGAAGTAATTTGAATTTTGAGTCTCGATCAAATATATAGCCAAATTTACCTACTATGACTCAGCAAAAAATTACTAAACGTCTCCACAATAGATAATGAGTCGGAACCAATGAAGTCATTATGCCATAATGTATAATTAGATTTTAATTACCTGACTAGAATATAATATTCCTAAACAATAGACAGTGGTCATTAAAAACTATTTTCGTTTCTCAAAGTAACATTTAGCCCTTTTCTTTTAATCATTTCGTAGTGATATTTAAAGATTTTGCAATAGTTAAATTGTTATTGATGAATTTCAAATGAAAAACTTGGCTATCGTTTAGCTCTGCAATCACTTATGCTCGAAGTAAATAATACACTTGACTGTTGATTTTCCAAAAATAGGAAAATTAATGAAGTGAAGCTAAACAATTGTCAAAAATTCCAGAAGAACAAGTACTAACATTGAATTAACTTTATTAGATTATACTTACATTGCATTTTCTCGACTCTATCATTTGTTGGCGCTCAGTCCTTCGTTGATAAAATCGAGATTTACGAACAGTAGTATATGACACATTAAATAAATTCATCATTTTTTTTATACTCCAGTCTCGAGGCACAGATGAAAGAATTGTTAATTTTTCATTAAACGTTGGGATAAGACGCTAAAGCTTCTCGAATTGATTTAATTATTTTTTGTTCTGAATCGGACATTTCATTAGATACTTTTAATTTTTTTGTAATTGGATTATTACAAGTTCGTAAATTATCGCATTTTACTGTTGTACTGAACATTTTGCAAAATAAAATGTCTACTTTGGTAAACTATAATAATAAGAAAAATAACTGTCACTTAAGCAAGTGTTAACGATTTACGTTGATTCGTATTTCTAAACTCTGAAACACAGTACGCGTGACTTTCCAGACTTAAATAATGTCTAAACAACTTGACAGGGTATTTAACTTGCCGGGAATATCTATCCCTACCATAGAATATCCAAACTCTGTATGTTATTCATTAGGTAAGTTATAGTACCTATTCTAATACTCATAGGATGTCAATTGTGTCAATTAGGGCTCTATGAGAAATACAATGGATATTTTACCGATAAGAATTATGAATGAGCGAGAGAGAACCCAAACTTTTCTAGCTTGTCGAAGCATTTGAATTCTTTGGATTTTTGTACCTATTTCTGAATTATTTTTAACTTGGCAACTATTAATTTTACAGAACTTCATAATTGGTTTATTTTGTTTTTAGTTTAACAAAAGTAACAATAAATCAATCTATCTATGTTGTTAGAAATCACGAGTTTAAATCCCCGATAAAGTTGATTTTTTTTTTCTAATAACTATTTATTCAAATTAGTTGATGTTTGATTAATAAATTAGGCGCGCAGTAGCCTATCGGATCCGGCCCTTGCTATCAAAGCATTGAACCAGGTTCGAATCCGGCGTACACCAATAAATATTTTCAATATTTAAGTGTATTATTCTGCTCAGCCCAAGAAATACAAACGAGTTCCAATCTCTTTTATTTTAAGCTTATTAATTTGAATATAGAAAAAAAAAAAATTTTTCGCCAATATTTTGTTAAATTAAACATAGGCATGTAGCAAGTCTAAAAAACGTTCATGAAAATGTACTAATATTTTTATTCATTGTTTAAATTTGTAAATTTATTAAAACAGAAAAAAAAATTTTACCTTTTTGGTCTGATGTTAAGTTATCAATATTAAATTTTAATAGCAGATACATTTATTGTTTAAACTGAATGATTTATTATTAATTTGAAAAAAAAAAGCTGCTATTCACGTAAAACGTGTAGAATCTAAATAATAATATACTGAACAGCTTTTTTACCTTTTTTTTTACTATAAATTTTTGGAAAAATTTAATCTTATATTTCCATTACTGTATTCTCATATTATTTTGCTACAGATAGTGTAATACGATTTTTTCGGTTATTTTCCCAGGCTCGTAAATCTTATATTTAATTATTTCTAATTGTATAACTCTAAAATACCTTATCATGAAGATCATTTGGAGAAGGCTCATCAAAAGGTTCATCCAAGATTTCAGTCTGAAAAAAAATTTACATTTTAGTTAAAAAATTAATAAATTTCCGAATTTAATTTTTTAAAATTATATTTACACATAATTACGTCAAAGCAAGCTTCATTATCTTCAGTTTCTTGATTATATTCTTCACGAAGCCACGAATTCAAATAATTTTCCGTGACCTTGCAATTTTCATAATCATTGTTCGAATTTATATCACTAATTTCAACATTTTGTTCAGTATATAATTGTTGGTTATTATCAATTTTGTCTGAATAATGCTTTGAACTGTGACAACAATTTTTACCACCAGTGACTGAAGAATTTTGTATTTCTTCGTTATCCTGCTGAAATTCGTAAGAATTTAATATTTCAATTAATTTTTTTTCTTTAATATATATTGATAATTTAATTCCAAATTAAATGTCGAAAGCTTTCTTTTACCATAAAATAAAATTCTACTAGAGAAAAAAAATTTTAATATTTTCTTGAAAAGCAAGGTAAGGTTAAAAATATAACTATTTTAGACTACTTTCAAATTATTTAGGGAATATATTGGTATTTTTATACAAAAATAACATCCTAATAGTATTTTAAATGTTCATTAAAATTAACAATTATTAAGCTTGTGTAGTTCTTAGTTGGGTTAATTTTTTTTAAATTTTAGATACCTGATTTTATTTTATTATAAAATTCATTTATAAACTAAACTAAAATCTCAGCTTCTAAGAACACATGCACTACGGCTTGCTCACATCACAAAACAACGTCTATATGTAAACATTTATTTTTAATCAATTTTATGCTGGTTGATGAATAAACAAGTACCATAATTCATTACTTATTTAAATATAATATGTATGGACTTTTAAATTAATAAGGTCCTATGTATGGATGTTTATTCCTTATTATGGGCAATGCATTTAAAAAAAAATATTTCAATAAAATTAAATTTGATGACATCTGAGAATTTTTATCAGTTCTCTGCTTTTAATATTATCAAAGAATAAGTATATAATATTGTATGTGCATTTAAAGAAATAAAATTGAAGCGCCCCTCGAAATAGCCGCGAAAAATCGTACCGAACATTTTTTCGTTTGTATACACTTGTTCTTATATGACATATTACTTTATCGAGTGTATACATATAGCCAATATTACCCACGAGCACACATACGTATATGAATATATATATATATATATATATATATATATATATATATGTATGTATGTATGACTTTTAAAATAAGTATGTATTGTGTAAAGTGTAAACATAAAAAATTGTTAGAGTATGAAGTAGATGAGGCCGACAGTATACATGAATTCGTTACACGGTGACAATGTGTGGGATGTATGTGGTGCTCATTTGTGAGATAGTGTGGTGGTAACGCATGTGTACTCAAACAATTTTCTGTAACTCAAAAATATCCGAACCAAACAAGCTTTTTGTTGGATTGGTCGTAACATGCACAGACAACCGTAACTTATTAACGCGGTAACCATCGTTCTGAGCATATCAACATGTGGAAATACGCTGAAGTAGAATCAATTTCATCTAAGCAAAAATTTATAGTAGAAACAAAGCATATCAAGAATTTTGATAAATACAGTCAAGCGACAAAAAGTAAATTGTATTCTGTTGAGCAATCAGGAAAATATGTAAGATGTTTGATATTAAAAACTGCAAGTAAGTATTGAAAAACTATTGATTTAAATCTAAAACCTAGAGGTAACTGAAAATTTTATGATTGTTTTTAAAAATCAATAGTGATGAAAAAATTTCTTTGAAAATTCGAGCTTATGACGATTTCATTTTAACACACGAAAATTGTACAAAAAATGTTTTTTCATAACATATTAAATTGTTAAAGAAATCAAATACTTTGTGATATATATCCATCAGTTTTAGTGTCAAGAATTTTTTATAAAATGAAAAATTTATTCTTCGAATGACCTTTAATTGGACTTGTTACTGAATTAATAATTTTTATAAATTATTACTTATGTAATTTATAACAGTTAATTTTGTGATGATAAAAGCTATAGGACAATTTTATTTCCTTGTTATTAAAGTTTCTCAAGAAAAAAAATCAATCTTGGTAAATTTATTTCAATAAAGTTATATAGAAAAATTCGCGAATTAAATTAGTGGATATCTAAAAATCATATTTGTCATAACTCTAACGACTTAAATTAACATACATTTTTGTAGAATTAATGTTAAATTTTTAATAAAATTTTGAATTAAAAAAAGTTAATAGGCAAAATATATAATAGGATACGTATAAAATTGTTTATATCGATACATGTACAGTAATTAAAACTGTGATCTTGAATCTATATCCGGTTGCATCAATATAACATGGGATAATCTTTCATATTTATTAGAAAGTGAATAACACTAAAGTAAATCAGCAAAATTTTTTTGAAACTTATGAAAACATTTTGTATTTGATTTTTGATAATATATGCTAATTTTTGCGACATTAAAATTTTTTATTGCAACGAAAATTAAAAATAAAAATTTTAGGGACTTACATAAAAAATTTTTTTTTTTAATTAATAACTTTTTGGAAGTATATACGCTTAGAGATAGTCATGTTAAAGCTATATTAGCTGACTGATAAAATTTTTTATATCAATATAAAGAAATTCCTGCGATAAATTAAGAAGATAATTCTAACTGGTATGGTGAATTTCAGATTCTATGGAGGATATTAAAAATCCCTGTTCGAGATCACGACGACCTAAGCCAAATTTATCATCACTTGAAGAGAAGTCTGACGACAGTGACGAATCAATTGATTTAACTGCAGTTAAAAGAAAAAGAAAGGTAAATATTAATTTAAATTAAAACTATTGTCACTAATCATATATGATACTAACTATTCATTATATTTTAACGTTTATCAGGCGAAAGGACAAAATGATGCAAAGTCAAAAAAAGTAACGAATGAAGATATATTGAAAACATACGCAAAACTACGTAATTTCAAAAGCGATAATTTTCGACAAGTCATTCCAGAAACTGATGATGAAGTAGAAGATGACGGTAGTAGTAATGATGCAGTTGATGAAGATGAAAGTAACAACAGTGGACGTAAACATGACAATGATGAAGTATTTTAGTTGAAGATACTCTTGAACAAGAAGATATTTATCATGAAAATGAAACAGGTGTTCGAAATGAAAATGATGAAAATACTTCGGATGAGGATCTATTTGAAACACAACTTTCCAACGGACTAGCATATCCGGGGAGCCATGAAGTAGAACAGGTAATCAATTTTAGATATAACACAATATACATTATTAATAACACTACTCACTACACTTAATAACTTAAATTTAAATTGAAAAAAGAAAAAAATAATTGAATATTTTCGACTTATCTTTAAGCAAAATTGTAATACGATTTGACAAGTCAACTAATTTGACTACTGTCACTAGCTAACTAATCATGCTTAGCTGCAGTTTAGCTAATTTAACAGGTTCAATCAATTAATTCAGCAAATTTGTACACGACTTAGCAGGATAGCTTTCAGTTCTTTAACTGACAGCTTAATCTAATGAATGGAAAAATTATTTTTGAGATAAATTGATTTTAATTTTAATTTTGATGTCTACTTAAACAATTAAATTTTGAACGGTCAATTTTTTGTTGAGTACAGAAAGTCGTGTTTAAAAAATTTCTTATAGCAATATAATACTTTTGAAACTTCGTTATGGATCTTTAAACTAAACAATTACAAGAATGGTTTTTTTTTTTTATCAAGAATTTGAGTATTGTTAGCCAATAGAGATTCATAATAAAATATGAATTTATAAAAAAAATTATTAATGAATTTTTGTCATTTTAGCTGATATGAAGGAGAATATTATTTAAATCTGTTTATAGTAGCACCTAAAACGATGCAACTGTTTAAAAAAATTACTTTTCAATAATCAATGTATTTGTATTACAGAACTACAAAATTTCTATAAAACGAAGTTTTTATGATATAAATTTTTGAAATCATTTAACAGGATAACTTTATTAATTTAGCTTGAACTTAAATTATTCATCAGTAAGGAAATAGACTTTTTTGTGCTTTTAATCAATTTTGAATGTAAAGAGAAATACAAAAGCAAATGAATTGAGTTTGTTGCATAATAATTGAAAATTTAAACCTTACGGTAATTAAATTAACGTTACAGATGTCATAAGGAATTTTATTTTAATTTATTCATATTTCAAAATATGTATACAAAAAAAATTATTTAAGGTGATTTCGTTTATAGTTTAATTAAGAATGCAAGTTAACCTGTCCTTCCATTGTTAAATTAATAAATCAAGTAAATAGAAAAAAATTCAGTTGGTCGTAAACAATTTTTTCATACCTATATCTAAACATTAAATTTTAATATCGTTGAAAAATGGTGAAACGATATTGCTTAATCAGTAAAAATCAAGCTGAAAGTTTTGCAAATTTTTTTGGTGAAAGCATAAATAATTATGTAATAACACTGCGTATAAATATTTTTTCTGTAGCATACAGATAGTAAGAACATTTGAAGCCGTAAGACAGTAATTTTAAAACTATAATTTTGTTTTAGGAACCACAAAATTTCAACAACCAATCTCTACATCTAGAGCAGCAACAAATATTAGAAGAAGAACAACGACAACAGCGATTAAAAGAACTACAAAGAAAACAAGACCAACGAAAACAACTGGAACAATACCAACTAGAATTAGAAGAAGAACAAAGACGACAGCGATCAAAAGAAGAACAACGAAAACAATACCAACGAGAACGAAAACAGCACGAACAACGAGAACGAGAACAACAAGAACAACAAGAACGAGAACGAGAACGACGAGACCGACGAAATCGAGAACGACACGAACAAAACCAAACTGATGACGACGAAGATGATGTTACTAACCCAGTTCACATCGGAGGGCGAATATTTATTTCTAGCCTTGCGTATGCTGAGGCATTTAGAGAATACAGACCGTCCAAATTTATTACTATTATGTCTTATGGGGATATGATTATGCTATGTGGGGATATGAAAATCTGTCCCTTCGAGCTGTTAAAAAAATGAGCAGAAATAAAGACAAATTACCATTAACACCGAAAAAAAAAGTAGTATTGGAAAAACAGTTTGCGAAATTCTTAAAAAAACGTAATTTATCCCGCGATATGGAGACCGTAGAGCGGAATAAAATTAACACATATTTAGGACGAGTCATCTCGAGTGCAGAAAAAAAAGTAAAGAATAGTAAATGATAAAAGTATCACCACTAGACTAGTAAAAGAAAATAGACTTTTTATATTTTAAGAACAGATCTTAAGTATAATTTTTAATGACAACAAAAATTATTGTAAAGACTGGAACCCGTAATATTGATACCAGATAACTAAATTCCAATGGATATTTTGAGGAAAATGAAATGATCTACTCAAAAAGTAAATAAAAAATTTTTTATCAGATAAATGATTTTCTGATCAAAATACAATTAAATGTTCTACAAAAATAAATTTATTAACAGTTTTGGCGTCATTAAATTCTTCAGATGATAAAGCTTAAAATATTTTTTATCAATGAATATTTTCATTTCACGTATGAAATAGCGAAGAAATCCTAAAAAATTTTGATACATTTAAGAAAATGGTTTAAATACCTGAATCGTTTATTTGAAAAACCCCATATGACTTATGGGGTTTCTCAAATAAACGATTCACCTATTTCTTCGAGGAAATTAGACTGTTTTTGATTTGCAATCATTAAAATGATGAAAAATTAAAATTTTTTTATTGTAACGACTTAAAAACAGTAGACAGCTAATTAGCTTGAAAAAAGAGTTTTTTTATAGTAACTTAATTTGAATGTATTAAAATGTTTGAGAATTCATTAAATTTTTTATAAGAAAAATAATAACAGTAGTTGATGAAAAAGTGACAATTTTCTTACTGATCTGAAAAAATTCAATTTACAACGGGAATCCACAAAATTTTGCATTGAATTTAATTCAAAAAATCTTCTTAAACAATTAATTAAGCCTAGAATGTGAAGAAAATTCTTTTGTACTGTTGTCAATTTTATCAGAGAAAGATTATAATCTTTTTTTACAATACTGATTCTTACTTAAATTTAAATATCTCAAGCTTAAAATTCAAACTTTAAAATTATACCAGTATTTAAGGCATGTTAATCAGAAAATGTTAATTAACTTTAATAGTAAGCCAATTGCAGCTGGGATAGCTTAGAAAATATGATAAAAGAACTAGCTAAATAAATAAAAAAAATTTTAAGTTGCGATGATTGACGATTTAATATCATTTTAACGTTCTCAAGTTATTACGATACTTTATGTTGTTATTTCCGAATAGTATTCTCGATGCAATCTTGGAAAAAAAAATAAAGAAATCGATTTACTTGGACCAGGCTAGTTTCTAATGCTACATGAAATTTTATTTTATTTTTCTTTTTTTGAATAATAGATCATATGTGAAAGTATTAATGTTATATTTAATAAGAAAAATCTAATGTCCTTAAGACTTTAGTTTTTCTCTTAAACTATACGTATGGGTGAAAGTAAATATATTAAGGTAAACAAATAAAATCATTATAATAATAATGATAAGAGAAATATAATATCAGATGATGGAAAATATGCTTAGCAAAGTTTTATAAGCTGTAATAGCTAATAATTTTTTTATTTTATGTTATAGTGGTAGTTATTATTTTTTATAGGTTGTTTTATATAAAAAGGTTGTGCATTTTAAAAAAATATAAAATTAGTATGACAAATTTCAAAGTAAGATAAATAAATATATATATAAATAGTATATTAATATTTTTTTTGCCAATAAAATCTATTCTATCGAATTCCTTTATTCCCAATGATAAGTATTAGATATGCAAAAATCCACAATAACTTATTTTTCGAGAAAAAAAAAAATTTTTTTTAATTCCTGATTTATTCTGAAAAAGTCAATAAAAGTTTCATTCTTACTTCCGCTGGATAAGTACAAAATTTATGATAAATTCTAAAAAAGTCTTTCAGCAGAGTCCAAAAACTTTTAAAAATACAGTTTTTAAACTGCCTATTAATTTTTAAATAGTTATTGTTATACTTTTTCAGAGTGTTTCCGAATTTTTCAGACAAATTAATTCTCATAGAATTATTATTCAGAACACTGCAAGAATTAAATAGACTTCTAGCAGAAATATATTTCCACCAGTTATTAATAACTGCCCGAAAAAATTAATTAATTTTTGTAAAGATTCTTTTGAGTTTTCGGAATTTTTTAAAAATAGAAAATATTTAAATTTAGGAATAAAGATAGTTTGTACGATAGAAAAGCCTATAAAGAAGACTTAGACCAAATTGCAAGCAATTTGGTTGAGTAAGAAAAAAAATTCATTTAAGTCAAGAGAAAAATTCTGAGGTCAAGAAAATAATTTTGAAGAGTTTAATTTTGTCTTGGATTAGGATGAAAAATTATTGAATCGGCTGTTTATTTATTATAATTAAGCTGATAGTTTTGTAGCCCTTGTTAATTTTTTTTCTAATAAAATCAAAAATAATTTGGTCGGACAATTTTGTACAGATTTAAGACGTCCTTACAGAGAATCACCCATATAAATATATAAAATATAACTATTGACATTTTTAAAGATATAAGCTCATTCTGATGTTACACTCATCAAGAGCTTTCATTTGAGTATCCACATCAATTTTTGATATATTTTTGATATATGCATATATATAATATATATAAATATATGAAAAATATGAAAAATTGATGTGGGTACTCAAATGAAAGATCTCGATGAGTGTAACATCGGGATGAGCTTATATCTTTAAAAATGTCATTAGTTAACAAGATACAAGGTCATTTCTTAATTATGTATGCTGAACACAAAATTTCCTTATTCTCTTAATAATATTGATGAAATTCTTCAAAATTATTTACTTGATTTAATAAATTTTTTTTCTGTGTAGAACTTGAAAAATCGTGGGTATCGTTTTAAAATAGACAGTTTCTAGAAAAACTTGTTTAAAGTTTTTCGTGGTCTAGTTCCAGCCGAGCTGGTTCGAATGCCGTGTCAATAAAACAGCCATATCTCCGAAAATAATTTGAATTTTCTAAAATCCTTCTAACGACATATTGTTAAAGGGTTAATCTTCAAAAAAATAAAAAAAAAAAAACAATTCAAATTTCTAGACCGTAATCCCCCTCTAAGACATTCAAAGTAAAGACTAAAAAATTAAATAAAATTTTTTTTAGCAACACTATCAATGGGAATCGCAGGCTCGCACATCGGATGGACATCACCGAGTCTTCCTTACCTAAAATCAGAAATTTCTCACTTACCGATGAGCAACGACGACAGTTCGTGGATTGCCTCGTTCTTCCTTTTAGGATCAGTGCCAGGAAACCTCCTGGCTGCGTTTATCGTTGACACGATTGGAAGAAAGCTCAGCCTGCTGTTAGCAGGCGTTCCCTTGACCCTGGGCTGGCTGCTGATAATCTTCGCGCGCAATGCTTACTATCTCTACGCCTCGAGGTTCATCAGCGGGTTCGGGATGGGCATAGTCTACGTAGTTTGCCCGATGTACATTGGCGAAATCGCGGACAAGAAGATTAGAGGTGCTTTGGGAACCTTCATTAAGTTGATGGTCACCTTCGGGGAGCTTTACTCCCACGCTGTTGGACCCTTTACGAAATTTCACGAACTGACCTACGCGTGTTTGTTGATTCCAGTCGTTTTCTTTATGACTTTTATATGGATGCCCGAATCGCCGTACTATCTGGTAATGAAGGGCAAACATCAAGAGGCAGAAGATTCTCTTAAGACACTCAAGAGGTAATTTTAAATAATTAATTTTGTTAAATTGCACTGTACTTTCTTAACTATTGACATTTTTAAAGATATAAGCTCATCCCGATGTTACACTCATCAAGAGCTTTCATTTGAGTACCCACATGCCATTTTGATATATTTTTCATATATACATATATATAATATATAAAATATATGAAAAATTGATGTGGGTACTCAAATGAAAGGTCTCAATGAGTGTAACATCAAGATGAGCTTATATCTTTAAAAATGTCAATAGTTTACAAGATAAAAGGTCATTTCTTAAATATTGACATTTTTAAAGATATAAGTTCATCCTGATATTACACTCTTTAAGAGCTTTCATTTGAGTACCCAATTGGATTTTTGATATATTTGTCATGTATACATATATATGATATATATGGGGCATTCCATGCCAAATCGATCACTTTTGACACCGACCCTTTTCGATTTTTCTGAAATTTTGGTATCTTTCTCTACCCTATTGAAAACAATTTTCAGAATTTTTTCAAATTTTTTTACCCAACCAAAAAAAAGTTACAAGTTATTACAAAAAAACAGCTTTTTTTTTGTTAAATAACCATAACTTTTTTGAAAATTGACTTTTTGAGATGTTTTTTTTTTTTGAAATTTTTGTCTTTAAATGTACTTTAAAAAAAAAAAAAAATAAAAATAATAATTCGGATTCATATTAAATGTTTTTTTTTTTAACTTTTTGGAAAAAAAACGAAAATTTTTTTTTTTTTTTTAAATTTTTTTTTTTAAATGTACTTTAAAAAAAAAAATAAAAATAATAATTTGGATTCATATTCAATGTTTTTTTTTTTTAACTTTTTGGGAAAAAACGAAAATTTCGGGATGATTGATATTTTTGATTTTCGATTTTTCTTTTTTATAAAAAACTTCAGTATTTTTTGGAAATTCCCTGAAATTTTCAGAGTGGTTAAATTTTTCTTTCTATTTTTTTTTTTAATGAAGAAAAAAATTTTTTTTTAAATGTTTGTTTTTCGTTATACCACTCTGAAAAAAAATAGAAAGAAAAAGTTTACCACTCTGAAAATTTTAGGGAATTTGCAAAAAATACTGAAGTTTTTTATAAAAAAGAAAAATTGAAAATCAAAAATGTCAATCATCCCGAAATTTTCGTTTTTTTTTTCCAAAAAGTTAAAAAAAAAACATTGAATATGAATTCGAATTATTATTTTTATTTTTTTTTTTTTTAAGTACATTTAAAGACAAAAATTTCAAAAAAAAAAAACATCTCAAAAAGTCAATTTTCAAAAAAGTTATGGTTATTTAACAAAAAAAAAGCTGTTTTTTTGTAATAACTTGTAACTTTTTTTTGGTTGGGTAAAACAATTTGAAAAAATTCTGAAAATTGTTTTCAATAGGGTAGAGAAAGATACCAAAATTTCAGAAAAATCGAAAAGGATCGGTGTCAAAAGTGGTCGATTTGGCATGGAATGCCCCATATAAATATATGAAATATATATAAAATTGATGTGAGTACTCAAATGAAAGGTTTCGATGAGTGTAGTATCAAGATGAGCTTATATCTTTAAAAATGTCAATAGTTCACAAGATGAAAGGTAATTTCTTAACTATTGAGCTTTTTGGAGATATAAGCTCATCCCGATGTTACACTCATCGAGACCTTTCATTTGACTACCCACATGTATTTTTGATATATTTTTCATATATACATATACATAAATATATAAATATATAAATTATATGAAAAATTGATGTGGGTACTCAAATGAAAGGTCTCGACGAGCGTAACATCAATATGAACTTATATCTTTAAAAATGTCAATAATTCACAAGATACAAGGTAATTTCTTAATTATATAAAATTCGCACCAGGTACAGTAACAAAAACGGACTTCAAGAAGACATGGACCAGATGACTAAAGCAGTGTTAATGGACATGAAGAGCCGCGCTGGCTTCCGAGACCTCTTCATGACCGAAGGTAACCGCAAAGGGCTGACAATTTGCTTTGGTCTCCAATTAATCCTCCAATTCAGCGGAATCGCGGCGATAGAATCGTACACTCAAGAAATAGTGGCTCCAAGCGAGTCGGGCTTAACTCCAGGAATCTCGGTGATTATCCTGAGCGTCTGCCAACTGGTAGCAGGGCTGGGAGCTGCTGTCCTGGTGGACAAGCTAGGAAGACGACCTTTGCTGATGAGCACTACTTTGTGCGCGGCTGTAGTTCTTATGGTCAGCAGCGCCTTCTCTATCCTTAAGATAGAACTCGGCTGGCCTCTAAAAGGCCTCGGCTGGATACTCGACTCCTCAGTGATCCTCTATGAGTTCATAATCGCCCTGGGGCTGAACCCTCTGCCTTATATGATGCTCGGCGAGCTCTTTCCGACCAATGTCAAGGGAGTCGCTGTCTCTATAGCCAATGTTTGGGGCTCCATACTCGCTTTCTTCGTCGCTAAAATGTTCCAAGTTGTTACAGACACTTGTGGAATGTACGCTAGCTTCGCTTGGTTCGCTGCTTCTTGTGTTCTTGGTCTGGTTTTTATTCAGTGGTTTGTTCCCGAGACCAAGGGCAAGTCTCTTGGGGAAATTCAGGACGAACTTAATTGCAGGAAGAAGGTTAAGACTATTAATCAGGAGGTTTATATTAAAACTATTGATTTTTAGGTAAATTTTCTGGAATTTTTTTGAGGAATTTTTTTTTTATGGGATTTTTTTGGAAATTTTTAACAATTAATTTTTTTTGCTATGATCAAATTTTTATTGAAAATATAAATATAGGTAGGAAAAATTTTTATTATAGTAATTAGTGGCAATTAAAATTAAATTAGCTGACATAGGAAAGTTTTTATTATTTTTTTGAAAAGTTTAATTTTTTTTAAATATTTTTTTTATTTATAATTTTTATTGATTCAAAAAGTCAAAAAATTGTCAAGTGTCTTTTAATTTTAGTGTCATTAATTTTGATAAATTTTTTATTAAAAAAAATTTTTTTTTGACAGAAAATTTGAAAAATTACAAATTTAATTTAAAAAAAAAATTTTTTTTTAACTTACAATTTTAATTGATTAAAAAAATAAAAAATTTTTAAATGTCTGCTAATTTTAGTATAATTAATTAAAAAAAATTAATTTAGCTATTTGACAATTTTTATAATTTTTTCATTGAAAGAAAAAATTTTATAAGTAGAAAATTAAAAAAATTTTTAAGTGCAATTTAAAAAAAAAAATTTTTTCAATTTTTAATGATTAAAAAAATCAAAAATTTTTAAATGTCCGCTAATTTTAATATTATTAAAAATTAAATCTAAAAATTGCAATTTAAAATTCAAACTTTAAATATTAATTTTTACAATATTATTTTTACAAAATTTGTAAAAATTACAATTTTAAACTGTAATTTTTCCAAATTTTTATCAAAAATTCCTTAATTTTTTCCTTCTAACAAATAGATTAAAAATGCAATAAGAAAAAATCCACTGAAAAAAAATAAACAATTAAAATCCAATAAAAAAAATTCCACTGAAAAAAACAAAAATTCTCGAGCCTATAAAAGGATAAATAATTAAAATTCTAAAATTCAAAGATTAAGTATTTAAAATTTATTTATTTATGTTAATTCAGAGCAATTTAACCTCGAGAAATTTCCCAGGCTGTTTACCTACTACCTATAATAGAATTATTTCCACACAACTATATCAACTTGATAAAATTTCGACTTGATAAGAATTAATAGTCACCTTCTACTGTCAAAAAAAACAACTAATATAATTATTATATAACATAAAAAAAAAAAAAAAAAAAATATAATCAGCGGGGGTTCCTTTAAAACAAGGAGTGCTGAGCAAGCATGACCACCATATCTCATCCCTTTTAAGCAGGGTGTAACTACTTTGAGACTGAATTGATATCGATATTGATAATTTAACAATTATTATTAATTTTTCTAATCGTTAAGTTTTTATATTTATTTATTCATCTAACTGAAGAAAAAAAAAATACTTCCCTTTGAGGCAGGGTGCAATCGACTGATTAATAAATCTTAAACGATGATGATTTTTATGCGTTTAAACGTAACCCTGGTTGATGCAAAATCAATTACTTATTATTATTATTATTGTTATTATAGGTGATAAGAATTTTTTTATGATTTTTTTGTAACTCTCTACGGTCCCTTTTAAGCAGGGTGTGATTTTTTTATCTGTAAAAATCTTTTTATGTAGAAAGTTTCTTGTATAATTTTATTTTAATTTTAATAAATATTAATATATATATATATATATATATGAATTATTATTGTTTTTATTATTTAATTTAATACAATATACAAATATTAAATAAATTTCTTTTAGGTAGACGAAAAAAATTATTTTTTAGACTTGTATTATAGACTTGTAAAATTTATTTTATTTTTAATTTGTAATTTTTGAGTCTAATTATTACTAAAAATTTATCGTAATTAATTAAAAAGCATTACTTGATTCAACATAATTACAAAGTAATTTAAATCACATTTAAAAATTTGAATTTTTCTGATTTTTCACAGTGAAAAAATAAATAAAATTTTGCTTTATTAAAATGACTTTTACTAAATTGCACTGTACTTTCTTAAATATTGACATTTTTAAACATATAAGCTCATCTTGATGTTATACTCATCAAGAGCTCTAATTTGAGTACCCACATGCATTTTTTATATATTTGTCATATATACATATATATGATATATATAAATATATGAAATATATTAAAAATTGATGTGGGCACTCAAATGAAAGGTCTCGAAGACTGTAACATCGAGATGAGCTTATATCTTTAAAAATGTCAATAATTCACAAGATACAAGGTTTTTTCTTAAATATTGACGTTTTTAAAGATATTAGCTCATCCCGATATTACAGTAATCAACAGCTTTTATTTGAGTACCCACTTGCATTTTTGATATACTTTTCATATATACATATATATAATATATATAAATATATATGAAAAATTGATGTGGGTACTCAAATGAAAGGTCTTGATAAGTACAACATCAAGATGAGCTTATATCATTAAAAATGTCAATAATTCACAGGATACAAGGTAATTATGTATCTAGAGATAATTTTTAAATTCAGCATCAATATTTATCATAATACATTGTCTATCGGTGAGAATGATAAGAAATGTTGAAAAGGCACAAATTCAAGTCAAGACCTTTGCAATGACACCAAATTTCACTAAAAAAAAAACCGATTTTATCATATGACTATCCTGAACACAAAATTTTTCTTAATCTCTTAACAATATAGATAATTTCATCTATAATAATTTCTTATTTTTTTGGTAAATTTTACAGATTCTTTTCTATAAATTTTACAGAGTTTTTTTCGTGAATTTTAATATTTAACACTTTTTTCAGTCGTTATTAATAATTAATCACCACCTACTAAAACTACCGTCCTAAATGCAACAACTAACTTATTATAATTAAAATTAATCTTCATTAATATTGAAGAAATATTCCGACCAAAATTAAAAACTATCATAAGATTCTCATTAACTTGTGATCACATTTAATAATTTGACATTCAAATAAATTTTTTGATTAAATTAAGGTGGTATTGAAGTGTTGGTCATTGATTGAGAAGCATTATGCCACTTCGGCTCATTTTGTCGTACTGAAAAATATAAATTACGATTAATTGAAGCAATAAAAAAAAAAAATTAATGAACTCGACACTGAGAGAGAAAATTTATTTTTTGAGTGTAGTCTTCTTACCAGAATAATTATGATGCAAAGACAATGGAGTGGCAATAGATGTACGAAATGACCTGCGAGTAAGTGTAATAATAACAATTAACACCGAAGTAACCACTAAAATAACAAAAATTCCCAAAATAATAATGACTATCTGTCGTTGTTTTCGCGCTTGCTCCAATTCCATCAGCGATTTTTCAACGACCTTTATCTTGTGATCGTCGTTTATCATTTCTTCTGGAGGATAATGATAAGTTTTACTAGTATTGGACAGTCGGGTGGAGCTCTTTCGGCTAATACTGTTCAAACGTCTTGCAGATACTTTTCTCTTCACACTTGCTCTTCTTCCGTCCCCTAAAAATTTAATTTTCATTAATTAATAATGCTAAAACAAAAAGACAATTCAAAATTTTTGATTTTTTTAATCTATTATTATTAAAAAATTTATTATTATTATTAAAAAATAGCCCTAAAGAATTTTTCAAATTTTTTACAAGTCAAATTTTTTAAAAATAATTTTCTTCAATAAAAAATAAAATAAAAATTTTCTGACATCGCCTAATTTAATTTTTATTAATTAAATGATACTAAAATTAGTAGGTATTAATAAATTTTTGATTTTTTAAATCAATAAAAATTATAAGTTCAAAAAAATATTAAAAAATTTCACTAAGGAATTTTTCAAATTTTCTTCAAGTCAAATTTTTTCTTTCAATTTTTTTAAAATAATTTTTTTCAATCAAAAAAATTATAAAAATATTCTAATTTAATTTTTGTTAATTAATCGTACTAAAATTATAAGACACTTGACAAGTTTTTGATTTTTTGAATCAATATAAATTAAAAGTTTAAAAAATTGCACTAAAGAATTCTTTAAATTTTATTTTTTTCAATGAAAAAGTTATAAAAATTTTCCAATTTCGTCTAATTAAATCCTAAACAACAATTATTCCTTTTTAAACTGTAATTTTCCTCTATTTCTTTTTTCCGTGCAGAATTTCATAAATTTTCTCCACCCGACAAAATGGCGGGTGGTATATCAAAATGCCGGCAAATTTTAAGCGGTAAATTCAAATTTCTTACCTAAAGGTGTAGGACCGTGAGTAATTCTTCCGTGAATACTATTTCGTCGTCGATTTCCAGTTTCACCCGATCGGAACCGCTTCGGCCGGTCAGATTGCGTACAAACAGAATTCGATCTTCTAGCCCGGTTATTTTGCAACTGGGGACTCGGTGGATACAGTCCCTGGGATATAAGCTCGTCGCGGAAGTCTGGTAGACGCTCGCTGTAGTAATTTCTGTTGTCGTAAAATACTATTCTATCGTTCTCCGAACGGGATCTCGTTGTCATCGGATAATTGCGTTCCATTTTTTAGATTTATTATTTATTATCTAGAGAAAAATTAAATTTTTATTTAATTAAAATTATAGAAAATTTAATAAAAATTTTTTTATTACATTTAATAAAAATTTTACAATTTTTTCACTAAAATTATAAAAATTTGAAAAAAAAAAAAAAAATTAATTTTAATTAAAAAAAAATTATTTTGAAGAATTTCATACTTTTTTTTTTTTAATTAAAAAATTATTCTAACTTTAATTTAATTTCACTTTTTTTTTTAAATTAAACTATTAAAAATTTTATTTTTGGGTCAAAAATTTTCCTTTTAATTAAAATTAATTTTTTTTTGTAAAGAATAAATTTATTAAAGAAAAAAAATGATTTTAATAAAAAAAAATTATTTTGAACTTTTATTTTAATTTAATGAAAAAAATTTTTCTTACTTTTCTTACGTTAATTTAAAAAAAAATTTTTTTTTGGGTCAAGAATTTTTATCTTAATTCAAATTAATTTTTTTTTTTTTTCAAAAAAAAAAAATATTTTATGATTAATAATTGCAAAAAAAAATGAGAATAATTATAAAAAAATAAAAGTTAAGATATCAAACGTCATATATAATGGTAATACAGTGTTATAAAGATTTTAAAAGCATAAAAGCCGTGTGTTATATTGGGTTTGACGTATGTTTAAATCTCGAGTCTAAAAGTAGATCAGCACACCCCCGTTATTCTCCGGCAAAAGTAAACTCACCTCTTAAATTGATACACAACCGCCTTTATAATTAACGTTTAAACATTTTGATTTTTTTTACGATAAATAATTAATTAAGTAATTGAAAAAAATTGAACTTTTTTTTTCACTTTAATATATTTTTAAAATTTATTTTAATAATTTTCTTACTTAAATAATTTTTTTTTTTTAATGTTTAATTAAAAAAAAAATTTTTTATTTTTAATGATTAATCAGCAAGGTGAAAAAATAAATTATAAAAATTTATTAGAAATTGCGACAGAGCTTTCGAGATGTCGGTGAGTGACTGGAGTAATTTTAATTTTAAAAGCGGAAAAATAAAACCAATGGCCTCCTAAGTTACTCCCACCAATTAGCCGCTTATATTTATACTCCAATAATTCCAACAAATTCACTATCGGTTTATAATTAATAAAAATCTTTAGTATAAAATTAAATATACTTTTATTGATATAACAAAGTATAAAATTGATTATAAAAATTTACAATACCCTTTACAAAATATATATTTTAATATAAAATAAATTTTAAAGCTTTGATTTCAAGCTGCTCATTAATTTTTCTAATTTCATAGCGACTTGCAAATTTCCATCGATCTTGAGTTTTCCCATCATAAACGCGGTCGCGGGTTTCAATTTTCCGGAGAACATATCAAAGAAATTGTTAGCTTCCATGGTGAGAACAGCGTCGGCTGCTTGGGAAGGTTTTCCTTTTTCTAGAGCTCCATTTCCAGTCTTTAAGTCCAGGACCCACGTTCCTGGATTGTCACCTGTAATATTGAATTGATAGATCGCAGTTGTTCTCCTCACGAGATCTGCTGATAGGTTAGCTCTTATTGCTGAGAAAATGACGTTCAAGTCTTTGGAGTTTTGAGCTGGTTTTTTGGTAGGATCAAAAACAGTGTGGCTTTTTGATTGGAAGTCTTCTTCGTCCAAGAAAAAGTCCAACATTAACTTGTCTTTCCACTCTGAAAAAATAAGTTTAATAATAATAATAATAATAATTACTAGCAATCTTGCAGTCACTATGTGACTGCCGTAACATATGAATTATAAATAAGTAAAATTTTGCTTCATTAAATAATGATTTTTGTTAAATTGCACAGTATTTCCTTAAATATTGATGTTTTTAAAGATATAAGCTCATCCCGAGATTACACTTATCACAAGCTTTCATTTGAGTACCCACATGCATTTTTGATATATTTGTCATATATACATATATCGGCGTTCTAATTAGTAAATTGTCTAACTCCATTTTAGAGAATCTTCTATTTGTACGAAAAAAACAATTAGTTCAAAATTCATTATCTCTTTAAAAGACCATTTAATATCATTACTATCTATTAGAGATATAATATTTAGATTTGAATCATTCAAATAATTTATAATTTGATTATGGCTACATCAAAATGTTAAAAAAATCACCCTCTAAAAAATATGAAGTTAGATTAATTACTAATTAGACCGTCGATATATAATATATATAAATATATCAAAAATGGATGTGGGTACTCAAATGAAAGGTCTCAATGAGTGTAACATCAAGATGAGCTTATATCTTTAAATAAAAATGTCAATAGTTTACAAAATACAAGGTAATTTTTGAAATATTGACGATTTTATAGATATAAGCTCATCCCGGTGTTACACTCATCAAGAGCTTTCATTTGAGTACCTACATGCATTTTTGATATATTTTTTATATATACATATATATAACATATATAAATATATGAAATATATCAAAAATTGATGTGAGTACTCAAATGAAAGCTCTTGATGACTGTAACATCAAGATGAGCTTATATCTTTAAAAACGTCAGAAGTTCACATAATACTAGGTCATTTCTTAAATATTGACGATTTTAAAGATATAAGCTAATCCCGAAGTTACAGTCATCAAGAGCTTTCATTTGAGTACCTACATGCATTTTTGATATATTTTTTTTATATATACATATATATGATATATATAAATATATGAAAAATTGATGTGGGTACTCAAATGAAAGGTCTCGATGAGTGTAACATCAAGATGACCTTATATCATTAAAAATGTCAATAATTCTCAAGATTCAAGGTAATTTCTCAATTCTTTACCAGGATTACAAGCATAGGGAGTGAAATCAGTAATTCCTTCTTCTCTGAGAATTGTTTCGTCAATACAAAACCTTCCGGTAATTGATTTGCTATCCTTGCAAAAAATAACATACGCTGCATCAGCCATTATGTCGGCTTTACGGCTCACATTGAATCCTTCTCCACCCGTTAGCATTTCAATAGCTGCCGTATGAATAGCTGAAGAAAAAAAAATCATTAGGATCAATTAATAATTGATTCAAAAATCTTAAATCTATTGATGAAAAAAAATTGATTAATGATAAAAATCAACTTACCGGTCTTAGGCCAAAGAGCGTTGACAGCAATTCTATCATTTTTAAATTCTTCAGCCATTCCCATGGCGCACATTGACATTCCATACTTAGACAAGGTGTAAGCCAAGTTACTTTGGAACCACTTGGGTTTCATGCTCAACGGCGGGCTCAGGTTTAGAATATGAGGATTAGAGCTTTTTTTCAAAAATGGTATGCAAGCCTTCGACCTATAGTTAAAAATTAATAAAATAATCAGCCTTAAATAATTGTAAGTCTTAATTATAATAAAAAAATTCTTTTAAAAATTTTCACTAATTATATTTTTTAATTTTTAAGTGTAGAATTTTTTAAATAACTTTTTTCATAATAAATTAATTACTATAAAATTAAAAAAAAAATTAAATTTTGAAAGAAACTTACACTAAAAATGTACCACGTGTGTTGACGTTATTCATCAAGTCGTATCTTTTCATGTCGGTGTCGAGCGTGGGTGTCAGCGAAATAGCGCTCGCATTGTTAACCACAATGTCAATGCCCCCGAACTTGCTGACAGCTTCATTTACCGCTGCAAGAACCTGAGACTCGTCCCGAACGTCGACCATGCATGGTAGAGCTTTTCCTCCAGCTTCTTCCACTACAATAAATTAATTTTACAATTAATATATAGTCATAATAATCACTTGGCCATTTTTTAATTTTTTTTAATAAAAAAATTAATAAAATTATCAAATACCTTCTAAATTTATTTTAGATGTAATAAAATGATTTATAATTATTAAAAGAATAAGAAAAATTTTGTCTCCAGGATACATAATTAAGAAATGACTTTGTGAACAATTGACATTTTTAAAGATATAAGCTCATCCTGATGTTACACTCATCGAGACCTTTCATTTGAATACCCACATCAATTTTTCATATATTTCATATATTTTTATATATTACATATATGTATATATGAAAAATATATCAAAAATCCAAGTGGGTACTCAAATGAAAGCTCTTAAAGAGTGTAATATTAGGATGGGCTTATATATCATTAAATATGTCAATATTTAAGAAATGACCTTCTATCTTGTGAACTATTGACATTTTTAAAGATATAAGCTCATCTTGATGTTACACTCATCGAGACCTTTCATTTGAGTACCCACATCAATTTTTCATATATTTTATATATTTATATATTTATATATATGTATATATGAAAAATATATCAAAAATGCAAGTGGGTACTCAAATGAAAGCTCTTGATGAGCCTAACATCGGGACGAGCTTATATCTTTAAAAAAGTCGATAGTTAAGAAAGTACAGTACAATATAACAAAATTCATTATTTAAAAAAGCAAAATTTACTTTTTAAAGCTTACAAATCATGACAGTCACGTAGTGAATGCAAGGTTGCTAATAAATAAATAAATAAATAAATTACCTTCTTTAGCAGCTGTGTAAATAGTACCAGGTAATTTAGGATGTGGTTCTGCAGTCTTTGCACAAATAACAACATTCGCACCATCCTTAGCAGCCTTTAATGCAATACTTTTTCCAATTCCTCTGGAAGCTCCCGTTATGAACAATGTACGTCCAGCAAGTTTTCTAAAAAATATTATTTAAATTAATAACTTTTTTTTTTCTAAAATTTTATTTTAAAATTCTTACCCGGTGTTAGAAATCATTTTTAGAAAACTAAAAATAAAAATATAAGTAATTAATAATTGTGACTTGTTACTTATTACTTGTTCCAAAGGTCGCTTGCAGCTGTCACTTTTTTTGTAACAATATCACATACAGTCTGTACATAAATGTTTTTTTTTATTTCATTTTATTAAACTTATTAAGTCAACGAACTCTGTACTTTAAACTCTTGAAGATTATAATTTAAAATTGTTATTATTTTGAGGTAATTATTGATAAATTTTTTATTTTTATTATTACTGAGCTTATATATATATTGTTAAACTTATATGTACCTATTGTTGAACTAATTATTGAGGTTACATATTTTTTTATAACTGTAAATATATAAATAAATTGTGTCGGTAAAGTGAACTGTCATTTTGACGGTAAAATTTTCCGCCAAATTTTAAATTATTATTATTCTATTTATTTAAATATGACTTGAAGTTAGCAAACGCCTAAAAATTTTTGATTTTTTTTTTTTAATTAAATTACAACTAAAGAGATATCTTTAAAAAATTGCACTAATACCTTTTTAAGTTTTTTACATGTGAAATTTTTTTTTTTAATTTTTCAATTAAAATTTTTTCAATAAAAAATTTCTAAAAATTTTGAAATGTCGGCTAACTTTATTCTCATGAAAATTGAGTTAGCCGACATTTAAAAATTTTTAGAATTTTTTTTTATTGAAAAAAATGATGACAAAAAAATAAATTGCACGTCTAAAAAACTTCAAAAACTATAAGTGCATTTTTATAAAAAATTTTTTTCAATTAAAAAACACTAAAAAATTTTCACTAATTAATTTCTTTAATTTTTTCATTAATTTTTATGAAAATTAAGTCAGCCGACAATTAAAAATAATTATAATTCTTTTTGTTGAAAAAATCATTACAAAAAAATAAAAAAAAAATTGCACGTCTAAAAAACTTCAAAAACCATAAGTGCAATTAAAAAAAAATTTTTTTTGTTCTAATTTGATTATTAAAAATAATCAAAAAATTTAGAACGTCGGCTAACTTTAATGACATGAATTTTTTAATATAATTTATTTTATAAAAAAATTTTTGCTAGTTAATTTAATCGTCATAAATAATTAAAATAAAAAAATAGTAATTTTATTAAAAAACAGTAACAGTTGATTTCTATAATTAAAATTAAAAAAAAAAGTTATATATAGAAACACAGTGTTTAATTTTGGAAATTGACAGAAAAATTTTTGCAGGTTATGTTGCAAAAATATATAGTACAATCACGTCATTTAAATTTATTATTATACTATCTTATAAAGTAGATATATAAGAGTTAATTAGTTAATTGTTAATTTTTAATTGTATGTTTAATAAATAAATAGATAAATAAAATATAATGGCGGAGAATCCGAGTCCTATTAAATATTTTCTCAGTGGAGGAGTCGGTGGAATTTTTACTGTAATTACTGGTCATCCTTTAGATACTATCAAGGTAAGAATAATTGAACTACTAATAATCAACAATTAATAATAATGACAATAAATATATATTTGATTTTATAATGACAGGTGAGACTTCAAACTTCATCGGGTGCAAATGGAGTTTTGTATACCGGGACATGGGATTGCGCTAAAAAAATAGCTCGTAATGAAGGATTTCGGGGATTTTACAAGGGTAAAAATTTATTACATTGAAATTACCAGACACTTCATTGACAATTTATTAATTTATCCAGAAAAATAAACTGGAAATTTATTTAAAAAAAATTAAATTTACAAGTTCTAAATGCTAATTTTTTTTTTTCATTTTTTTCTGCCATAATTTATTTGTTAAAAAAATTCTTGAAATTATTAAATATTGCCAAAATTAATTTTTGAAATTTTCTAAAGATGGAATTTTTAAAATAAATTTTTCTCACTATAATTTATTAGTTGAGAAAATTATAAAAATTATCAGAAGTCTTAATAAATATTTATTTTAGGTATGGGAGCACCACTGTGCGGAGTAGCTCCAATTTTCGCAATAAGTTTCCTGGGATTTGGCTTAGGAAAGCGACTCCAGCAGACGGGTCCTGATCACGAGCTGACAGCGATCCAACTGTTCAACGCTGGGGCTTTCAGTGGAGTTTGTACGACGATTATAATGGCCCCGGGAGAGAGAATCAAGTGTCTGCTGCAAGTCCAGCATGGAATGGACAATGTCAAGTACAATGGTCCAGTAGATTGCATCAAACAGTTGTACAGACAAGGAGGAATCAGGAGCATATATAAAGGGACTGCTGCTACTTTGATGAGAGGTTGGTAATAAAATAAATTAATACTAACAACCTTGCAGTCACTATGTGACTGCCGTGACTTGTGACCTATAAATAACTAAAATTTTACTTTATTAAGTAATGAGTTTTGTTAAATTGCACTGTACTTTCTTAAATATTGACGTGTTTAAAGATATAAGCTCATCCCGATGATACACTCATCAAGAGATTTCATTTAAGTACCCACATCCATTTTCGATATATTTTTTCTATATAATATATATTGAAAAGATATAAGCTCATCCTGATGTTACACTAATCAACAGCTTTCATTTGAATACCCATATGCATTTCTCATATATATATATATATATATATATATATATATATATATATATATGAAAAATTGATGTGGGTACTCAAATTAAAGGTCTCGATGAGTACAACGTCGGGGTGAGCTTATATCTTTAAAAATGTCATTAGTTGACAAGATACAATGTCATTTCTTAACTAATGACATTTTTTAAGATACAAACTCATTTCGACGTTACACTCAACGAGACCTTTCATTTGAATAATTGTCAATAGACTCCAAATTTTGTAAGAATTTTCTATAAGTGATATAAAAATAATTTATGAACAAATTTTACGATATTCCACCCCAAAGAGGATTGCGGGGGCGTTAACAATGAAAAATTCCCATTTTTAAACTACAGCTCCTATTGAGTCCAAACTTGATAGGAATCTTCTTTATGAGATGTAGAAATAATCTATACACGAACTTTACGGTATCTCACCCCCACAGAGGGTTGCGGGGGTGGGTATTAACAATGAAAATTTTTAATTTTTAAGTCATGGCTCTTTTACACTCCAAATTTAGCTATAAACCTACCGCCAATAAGGATTGCGGGGAGGATGTAGGAATGTTGAATTTCCATTTCCAAGCTGTAACCTCTACACATTCAAAATTTTGTAGGAATCTTTTATTCATAATGTAGAAATTATCTCGAATAGGATCTTACGAAATTCCTCCCCCACATAGAAGTGCGGGGGTGTTAATTATCAAAAAATTCATATTCTTCAAATACAGTTCCTACATATATAAAATTTGAAAGAATTTCAAGAGAAATAGGAAATTATATGGATGGCCTCCAAGGCCAACCGTTTTAAATATTTTTCTTTCTTAATAATTAGATATCAGCTAAAAACAAATTTCGTAATAATTGACTTTATACGTTGGTTATGTCAGAGTGGTGAGTAGAATGTAAAAAAATGTTTTTGTTTATAAACTAGGACTTCTTGAGACGTGAAACTTAGGACATATATATTAAACTTCAATAAATTCAGTAAAAATTTCCTTACAACAATCGTCTCTTTGGCAGCAGAGATAAAGTCATTGTAAGGTTTCCAAAACTTAACTTTACATGTACCTATCCAGTCAACGCACTAAGAATTTTACAATCATTTTACTTTTAAAGATCACATAACCGACAAATTCTTTTATTACCGGATCGTGGGAATGTAACAGATTAAAATGAATGCATTTTCCGAGCACTTGAAATGTGGAAAAGAAATTTGGCTACTTATTTCAATAGAATTCATAAAAAAAAACATATACAATTAATTTTCTATAAAGAATTGATGTCACAGAAAAAATTTTAGTTAACAGAAAATTCGTCGCACTTTAAGCTCGGCAGATTTCAACTTCACTTATGAGACCTGCATAGACTTTAGCTGAAAATTTCAATGCTCATTTAAAATTTTTTTCTTCGTGTCAATTATTATTAATTTTTGTAAGAAAGCCACGGAAATGTTATAATGGTTGCATATTGAAAGTTACAATGAATATTAAAATTTAATTTATTTCCTGCTACAATTCGCCCAGCGAAGCGGGCGGGAAACGTCTAGTATATAATATATATAAATATATGAAAAATTGATGTGGGTACTCAAATTAAAGGTCTCGATAAGTGTAACATAAGAATGAGCTTATATCTTTAAAAATATCATTAGATGACAAGATACAATGTCATTTCTTAATTATTGACATTTTTGAAGATATAAGCTCATCATGATGTTACAATCATCAAAAGCTTTCATTTGAGTACGAACATGCATTTTTGATATATTTTTCATACATACATATATATAATATATATAAATATATAAAATATATGAAAAATTGATGTGGGTACTCAAATGAAAGGTCTCGATGAGTGTACTATCGGGATGAGCTTATATCTTTAAAAATGTTAATAGTTCACAAGATACAAGGTCATTTCTTAATTATGTATCTAGAGACAGAATTTTCGAATGTAGCCTAAATATCATAATACATTGACTACCGGTGAGAATGATATGAAACGTTGAAAAGGCACAAATTCACGTCAAGACCTTTACAATGACACTAAATTTCACTAAAAAAAAACCGATTTTATCATATGACTATCCTGAAGTCAAAATTTTTCTTATTCTCTTAATAATATAAATTATTTTAATTTACAAGGACCTGAAGACCCAATTAAAAAAAATTCTTTCAGATGTACCAGCCAGTGGGATGTATTTTATGACTTACGATTTGATTCAACGACTGCTAGCTCAAGATGATAAGAAGCTATCTCTTCTGTCGACTATTTTCGCCGGTGGATGTGCCGGAATTGCCAATTGGATTGTTGGGATGCCTCCAGACGTTGTCAAAAGTCGTCTTCAAACTGGTAAGCCTTTTACAATTTTTATTATTATATATTAGAGATTTTTTATTAATTATAATTTTATTCCAGCACCTGAAGGTATGTACAAAGGCGCCAAAGATGTCTTCAAAGAGCTTATTTCAACAGAAGGCATCCGCGGGCTTTACAAAGGGGTTACTCCGGTTATGCTTCGCGCATTTCCTGCCAACGCTGCCTGTTTTTTGGGCTTTGAACTTGCCATTAAAGTTTTAAACTGGGCTGCTCCTAGTTTGTAAACTCACTTTATAAATATTTTTATATTATATTATTACAAGATCCAAATATCAATATAAATATTATGTATATAAATTGGTTTGTATTTTTTATAAAAAATAAAATTTATAAAGTTTTTTTATTAACACACGTTTAAATACATTATAATAAAATAAATTTCAAGGCATTTTTTTTTTGCTTTTTAAGCTGTGATGTATTTATATATATATATATATATATATATATA